CCCCCCCCCCCCCGCATAACACAGGCCTACGAAAATAAGACTTTGGAAAGTTCGATGAGATATAATCTAATATAAGAATGGTTTCCACCGTAATTTTTTCCACTGTATCCGAATTTGGTCACAGAATCTAGCATGTAAAGATTTTACGATATTCTAACCTAAAAGTACAAAAAAATCGTTTTTTTTTTACATTTTCAGATTACAATAACTTTAAAACATGAGGATATTCGTTGATTTGGCCAATAGATTTGGATTCTTCATGAAAAAAATCTACAGAAGTGGCAGATGCAATATGACGATTTATCGTTCTATTCACCATACTGCATCCGCCATTTTACACTTTAAAATTCTGACTCTAAATTCATAATCAGTGACCCAGAAAACCCTTTAATGCAAAGTATAAAAAAAATTGGTCTTATGAAGCGTTCAATACGTTTACATACTAAAAAATATAGAATTTGTTAATACAATTTATTCTTACACACACACAGTTATAAATATTTAACCTTTTCGGAAAACGTATGCACTTCTTTAGATTTTTTTCATGAGGAATCCAAGTATACTGACCAAATCAACGGATTTTTTCACATTTTAAAGTTATCGTAATCTGAAAAATTAAAAAAACGGCCTTTTTTGTACTTTTAGGTTTACTGGTCGCAAGCTTAAGTAATTATAGATTTTTACTGATAGTCGCAATTTGTAATCGTCAATAATTTTAGTGACGACTCCGATTGCTTTATCAATCAGTTCGTCGCTACCGATCAGCGACTCTCATCGGATCTTTAAATTGCAAAATAATACACATGGGAATTTATTGCAATTGATCGGATCCCAAATAATTTAAGCACGGACGTGAAGAAAACAGGAAAAACGAATATGTATAAATAGTCGAGGGAAGGAAGGAGGGCACGATCGTTCCGGTTTACACCTCGATCTACTTAGAAACGGCATGTCTCAGGACTCTCAAGCAGCTTCAAGGCTGTCGCGTCCTTCGCGATCATTGCACGCTCGACATATTACCACACGAAGAGAAGCCCCACGCTTGGCCAATGGAGAAAGGCGACGTATGGCGAAACAGTGTGTGTGTGTGTGTTGTATATTACACGGCGCATCCGGGGAATTGTACTGAGGATGCACCGAGCGCACATTTAACCTGTCAGTTGGAAAAGGTTGGGTATGCTAGCTCCAGCTTGTTCCGCAACTCGTCCTAATTCAAATCATTGTTATTCGCATAATTTAATGTACATATGTTCAAGAGAACTCGATGCAAATTTAGTTTTAAACCAAAATGAAGAGATTATAGAAGCTCCTTTTTTGAACTGTTTTGAAGTAGTTTTAAAAAAGGAAAATAAAGCGTTTCGAAGCATGGTGGAAGAGCAATCATGTTTCGAAGAGCAATCCGAATATCGAATGTTGACCGATAGGTCAACGTTTATTAAATTATATGATAAAATTTGTAATCTGCAATTATATGGGTATATTTACGAAAATAGATGCAAAAACTCTGATCTTTTCTGTAAAAATATTGATAACTGTTTGTTCAATTAATTTCGACATAGTATTTCGCCAAGATAATAACGACAGGGCGAATCGTCTAAGCAGCATATTTATATTTAATTTAAAAAAAATCGTCCAATAATTGAGGAAAACATTTTAGTTGTATTTTAAGAATATAACTGTGCTTATATAAAAATGTTTATAAAATTATTCCTAAATTATAACGTAGAATATTACAACATGAAATATTATGCATTCAGTATAATTAAATTTAAAATGTTTTAATTAAACGGCTTTTCGGATGCATATAAATCAGTTTTTCAGAAATGTTTATCGAGCATTTGAAAATAATCGGGATAGTAGTGTCCTAATTTCTTTCTTCAATATACACTGGCGTTTTATTCTTATATAAAATATTTACACCTCAAATCGGATTTGTCTAGTTTTCAACAAATATTTAAAAATTTTGTTCTGACATCTGATTGTTGCGTTATGACGAATTATCTTAGCGCAATCATTGCAAAATTGTCGTCACTTCATGATGCTATTATTGTGCAATGTTTTCACAATTTGTTTATCAAGATAAGCTCAAACGTATCATGCAACTTTATATAATTTATTATTATATAATTTTTTATATAATTATTATATAATTTTATATAATTTATTATGTTTTTTAACCCTTTCAATACTAATGACGACTATGGTATACTGCAGCATTGAACGCTTTTCGTGCACTAATGACGATTATATAGTTTAACAATTTTTTAAGTTATTGTTACTATAAAACGTGTTAAAATATGATTCCTTTCCACCAATACTTTACGTTACATAGTAAAATTTAACTGCTATACTTCTTCTCTAGTAAAGTGACATTCTCGCATTATAGTTGTCCCGTACAGTGGCAGTGTATTCGCGATTCAATTGTCCGTATAGCGGAGCGGAGGTATAATGGCGAAAAATAAAGCCGTATCAAAAAGGTTAATAAATATTTGATTTGAAAGCAAGTAAAGTCTTAGACTTAATTACAGTAATTTGAGGATAGAATATTTCACATATTCTAGATTTGTGTGAAAAAAATATATTTTTATGTACATTCTTAATTTCGACGGGGACACTATTTTCACATAAATCGACTTCTTTCGAACATTATATTAATTTATATACCTATATTTTTTAGATATATTAAACTTCAAATGTCATAAGGACCGCCCTGAAAACATATAGAAAATGTTTCAAATGTATCGACTCATCTTTTGAATATTTTCCGACTTATTTGGGAAATGTTTAATCGTATGGATAACTTCCAAATTTCATTTTTTATATTATATATTCTTAGAATCAGAAAAAGATGAAGAATAAGTTGAACCAGGATTCAAGTTAATTTACTTAAGTTAGTGAAAACAGGTATTAATGCGGGCGTTAATAGTGATCGATTGCAATTCTTGGTGTGCTCCAGTAGTTTTAAGCGGCGGTTATTTACCTGAAGCTTTATGTCTGGAAGTATCAACATCGTTTGTGCGTCCGTTCGCCAGGGCGAACCGCGGGTATCCGAGTTCGTTTTTCGATCCGTGTCCACTGCGTTTTCCCGATCTTGATGTATTCGCGTCGAACGCGTCCTCCGCGTGCCTTCTTAGTATCTGAGTATATGAGAATAACACACGACCGCCTGTCGTCGTCTTCGGGGGAATTCTTTGGAACCGCTAGTTCGCTACCGCGAAGTTCCCGTGGGGTGCTAGCGGTCGCGTCGTTCACACGGTCGACCGGAAGTGCGAGGCGACTCCTCTCAACCGAGTCCCGATATATTCGCGCCGATATTTCAATGATTCACAATCTATCGTTCTCGTGGAGGATAAAAATCGCGCACTGTCTACGCGATGAAAGGCGCAATGTCCATGTCGTATTGCTGAGCAGAAGAAAGCGGTGCAGGTAGTGCGTTTCTTCACGTAGCGTCCGGAGAAATATTGGAGTACTCGCGGTCATGTGGAGAACGGAGAACACTTCGGTGAACGGAAGAACGGGAAAGTGAAGATCGGGGAAATTTCGAGATCGTCAGATCAGCAGACGTTTGATCAGCAGACAAATTTCGGACGAAGCACGAAGTGGAGCTCGACAACGCGATCGATGCGATGGCGTACGCGACTTCCTGTAGACGACGGTGTAGACGACGACGATCCATCAACGGCAACCTAGAGCTCGGCTGGAATCGGCCGCGATCGGTGTAGCTCGGCGAAAGGGAAAAAGAAAGGATGTGATGAGCAGAAAGAAGAGTAGGGATGGACCCGGTTGCGAGGATGGGCCTGCTGTGTGGCCGACGGGGCGACAGCGCTACAAGAGAAAGGAAAGGGTAGGAGAGAACACTGCGTGTTTCGCTGTGACTGTGATAAATTCCTCAACAGAAATTTCAAACATCCTTTGACATTATTCGAGGAAAACGAGACTGGTATCGTAACGCGATAATTATACGATATTGTACGATATAGCGAAAGTATAATAAAGTATAATAAAGTTTAGATTATCGCGAGAGTGATTTCTAAAGATCAAATTCCTAACAGCTTTAAATTAACGTTTTTCTGATACTAAGAAGAGATGTTTCCCATTTTGTAGGAAAATGTGATAGGAATGATGTTAATTTTTGATTGCCGCCAATTTGTCGTGTCGTTGATCAGAAACTCATGATATAAGATAGGCTACACTTACTTGCAGTATTAACGTTATCGCGCGTGATTGCAAATGTCATGCGAACGTGAACTATCCCTGAAATTGCAATGAGGTTAAATATTTCTAGACAAATATTATATTTCTATGCAGATATAATCGTATAATTGAAAACAATGAAAACTGTTTAAACCTAAAAAAGAACCTCTTTAAAAAAGAGAAAATATAATATATACGCCAAGTACATAAAAAGGTATCGAATATCGCATTCCTTTTAATAAAAAATGGAAACGAAATAAATGCAATTAGCCAAGTATTTCATAACACAAGACGCATAAGATAGATTGAAAGTGACTAAAATGGTCAACTGAATTGTAGTGAAGAAAAAACTTGGCGTGCCCGGGTCACATTAATTGCACTTGTGTGAATATATTGCATATCTCATCATAGTATTTGCATTAAAAATTAAAATATAAAAAGAAAAGATATTTAAAAGAATTATAGATATTTGCCGATCGGCATTTAGGCTGCGCGCGGGTTAATGAAGTAAGGGGCAGGAATTAAGCTGAAAATTGGCCGAAATGTGCAAGTAAATCCCAGCACTGGATTAGATCATTCTTTGTGTGTATAATAAACCCATTACGATGATGAATTACGATTTCAATAATTAATGAACTTTTTCCTTTCATTCGTTTCATTTCGGGGTTGAGTTTTCAATTACAACCCATCTTTCCGATCTAAGTGAAAAAAAATTATGTGAGGTTTGATTTGGGGATTATAATAAAACAAAACTCAAAATGCAGAATCTTCACATTGCAAATCGAAAGTCGTTAGATGGAAAATCGACATTGCCCACACACTTTGAGATAGGCACTGAGAGGAAGGCGCTCGCGATGATTATAGTTCATCGGGATTATAGATGAGCATGGAACTGGGGACTTTTCTGCCATCTGTTGATAGAATTATGCGATCTTTTCGAATATTCTGATCCGGACCGAAAAAATTTCCGCGTTGAGAAAAAAAGCGCCGTGCACTTGCCGCTCCAAGGAATCCTATGTACGCGGTCAAGCGATATATCATATATTTACGTAACCGATTGCGAAAGAAAAAAAACTAATTGGTTTTTACTTGTCGCACCTGGCAAAACGCGTAAAACGCGTATTCTGACGTAAAAATGGAATGCGCCCTCGCGTGATGCAAAAATATCGCGCTCTCGGTGATTTTGCAATGTAAAACTGATATTTATGGCACGTTGCGTGATTACTTTTTCATATCGGCAAGCTCGCGTTACAGCAGATTAGAAGCGATGCATGCAAACAAGCGCATTCGTTCGATTTCATTCGATATGAGGCGTGTCTATGGCCGGTCTTCATAATTAATTCTTATGTTAAGACCGTCTGTAACATCTTAAAATGCTAATACGGCCCTCTGATTGGCTTATGACATCTTAAGACTGTAGTTAAAACAGCCTCAAATTCCAGCTTGCAAAAGAATCGCGACTATGAATATCAGCCTAAGCATTGATTTACCTACTGTAAATGGTCAAGTCTTTACTGACTGCTAATGAAGAAACTGCACATACTCATGGAAGAATTATATCTCTATAGTTAATTTCAATACTTTTCGATAGAATTGTTGAAGTGTATACAAAATTCCAAAGAAATATGATATTAATCTTTATATTGTTAATGTATTTTTCGAATTACCTATAAAAATTTTTATGTTGATCATCATAATATCACTCATTTGTTACAACAATTCAGAAAACAAAATTTTCCAGAAAATAAATTTTAATGTTTTGAATTAAAATTTTGGAATATTAATTTTGAAATTTAATATTTTAGTCTATAAAATAACCGATTATAAAGGATGATTAAAAGTGTGTTCTTTTGAAATATCTCTCTTTTACCTATGTTTCCATTCTTTTTCTACAAATAACTCAGAAGAAAAGACGATTTTTAGTTATGTATGTCGTTGTTGTAACAAGTAAGCGATATAATGATACGTATCAATATTCGCCCGTGCGTTTTGTTACCTTCAATTCAGTGTTACGCGAGCAAGTCTTCTTCTGAAGAACGCAAATAAATTTATTCGAAGATGATAAATAAAATTAAATATTTCATACTTTACAAAGATGTTATTATCTTTTTTATTAAGGATGTATGTGTCATATCTAAAAATAATACTAAAAATATAAAAATTTCATAGATTGTTTTATTATTACGTCTCTGAATATTTGTATATTTGAGCACAATTCTCTAATTGGTTTAAAAATTATTTAATTTTTTTTTGTTTATCTTGATTCTTATACGCAAAATCGCATTTCGTAATATTTATTTATAAATATGTCATTTGACGAGAAAGTACAACATTAAGAATTAAATCAAAGTTACATATATTGATCAAACAATAATAAATATATTCATGCAAATGTTTATTTGGATCCACTTATATATTCAAAAGTTATTGACTTGAAACTACAAAAAAATATGGCCACATTTTGTTGCAAAAAATCATTATAAATAAAATTATTTGTTTTGTTTTTGCAGTTGGTCAGGACGTATTTACGGGTTAATATCAAAATTTTTTTAATGATATTGGCTGATATTAGCTTATTTTGACAATTGTTTAACTGATATTTTTAGGTAATATTGTATAGCCAAAACATCCTTAAACTGTAGATGTATTATAACTTTAATTGAAAAATTTCCAATGATTTTTAGCTTTGACTGCTTGCAGGATGAAAAATTTGTCTTTTGCCGACGAAAGAAAGAGCGTTCTTTTTTCGAGATTCTTAAGTATGCGAAAATTAGGGACCGTGACAAGGTTAACGAGCGGCCATGACGTGACTTGTTTCGCGTTTAGAGGCACGAAGACGCGCCGCGTGTCGCCGACATGTGCGATTACGCACGGTGCGACGTGACTCACATATAAGATCTATCGTTTATATGTACAGCGCTCACCAAGGAATAGGAAAACGCAAGGAAGCAACGTCTCCCGATCTCCGTCGCGCGTCACGCGCCGCGTCGGGAGTACTTACCTGCCGACGGGAGTACCGGAAGGCCTACCGCCTGACAGCTGCGCCGCGCCAGCGCGGCGTGACTCACGCGAGGACGCGAGCACGTCGCCACGCCGGTCGCCTGCATACGCTATTAAAGCACTCGATCGAATATGTCGCTTCGTTTTCTATTGTGTGCGCGTACCGTACGTGCTACCTTCTTGCAGCGAAACCAATGCGAATTTAGGAATCAACGGCTGCATTCAGCAGAAAATGTAGCTTTGCTAATGTAAGATTCTTTACTAAGATTGGTTTATACATTTAAGTATTTTAGGTTTTAGATTAGATTCAAAGAGGAATTAAGGGCAAGAATTAATCTATTTAAGAATCTTACAATAATAAAGCTGCTTTTTCCGTTTAATGCAGCCAGGGACGGATCCATGATGGTGGACATGGGGGACACGACTTCCATCTTGGGCGTCTTCTTTCTTAAAAATATTTATAGCAAAACGTTATATAAATTTTTAATATTTCTAAAATGCTTAATTACAACTTTGATATTCCAAAGATATTTTTTAATTTTAAAAATTCTTAGATTTTTACGGCTTAAGGCTTATTATTCTATTGTAGACATTACGTTATGCAGCGTTATGCAAAAGTCTATGTTGTGGCTTGTATTTTCCACCCGTCGCAAGCGAAAAAGTTTTCACTTATGACACGTAAATTAAAAAATAAGGATGGAAAGGTATATGGAAATTGGAAATTTCTTTTTTTTTGGTTCTTGGCACAGGATGTTGGAAACACTTGTTTGGCAATCCAATAGCATATAAATCCATCAATGGCCTCAACCTTGAGAAGTTCCTGGATCCATCCCTGAATGCAGCCAATGATAAGTCTGACTCGTCCTGAAAGACATACGACTGATATCGCGCAAACTTCATAATGCTTGATATAGGGTAACTCCGGTATATACGTCGCACCTATCAAAAACTTAATTTATTAAGTATTATTTACTATGTTTAAAGTAAACGAACTATATCAGTAAAAACTTTGTACTGTCTACTACTATGAAAAAAATATTAGAAATCCGAAATATTTATTTTTCGTATTAAGAAATGACCTTTTTGAAATCCTTGCATGTTTGCCGTATATCCCATAGGGGTGGGATATATGACTACTCATAGGGAGAGAGGGGATATGTACAGCTCATGAAAAATTTACAAATAATGCTTATAAATAAGACATAAAATGATACAATAATTTATAAAATGCGTTTATAAAGTTTTATTAAGGAATAAGAATGATAAATATGTATATGAATAAATAATAATTACAATCTTCCTACATATATTACAAGTGTTATGACATGAGGTATATTTCATGTAATGTATTTATTGCATTTAGTGCACTGAATTAAATCTGCGCACTTTGTATTCTTTGGGCATAAATCCCGTACGCTAAAAATGCCGTATATCCCAAACAGGTGGGATATACAAGACAGCAAACTAAACAAAGAATACGAAAGCAAAGCACTTGTATTTTGGTAAATAAAAAATGCTTTATTATTCCTCTACACGTATGTATCACGAAAT